GTGTGGTTTCGTGACATGCTTGAAGCCGTTACAGCCGTACTGTCAGCAGTTTGCCGAACGTGGTGCTTGTGCTGCCGCGTAGATAGAGCAGCACCAGCAGCAGCACAGCATCGACACACCATGTAACAAACTATGCGGCTGAGACACTACAGGTCCACGCGAATCTGCCTGTGCTACTGCCAAGACTGGCTAGACGCCGAGACTGACCAAAACATGCACCGCGAATCCCCAAAATTCGTGCTTCTCGCAGCAAAGCTGCTCCCAGTCGAAGGAAAACACCCAAGGTTGCTGCAACGACGTACTCAGTCGAAAAGCTTGTTTACCCACGTACCTCCGAGATCAGCTTCAAGCCCAGCGCGTTGGCCTTGGGGTTGTTCATCTCCAGTCTCACGACTCCTGTTGACGGAAAGCGTGTTCGCAAACGAGTGTCAGGGTTAAGGGGAGGAGTGTGATGAACGCAACCACGCGAGGGATGCTGCTGAGAGCTACGTATACGCAGACACCCCCCGGTGTTGTCGTTGTTGCTGCTGCTTGCCTTCGGATGAGCCCCAAACAACCAGAACAAGGTTCACAGTTCCGAGCAGAAAACTGAGCACTTTCTCCAGGAAACCTCAGGGATTGATTGACGCCTCGTGCTACTCTTTAGTACTAGATAGCAGCCGTTAACGTAATCGTTCAGCTGCCACGGACGGTAACGCTTGATTCATGTGCCCGTGAGCCCGTACAGTCGACCCAGCTTCCAGGACGCTCTCGTTAAGGAAACTATTTTTGCTGAGCACCAGGCGGCAGAATGTACGATAATGGGGTACCCCTATTTTCTGCCGCTTCCCCCCCGTTTTGGGTCCTGCGGGCCGCTCTTTGCGCGCACCACGCACCACAGTGAGTGCAGAAGTAGCGACGCACAGACAGCAGAAGTGGTAGCGAGCGGTCTGCTGCTGCAGCTGTAACTGGGTGTTGGTATTATGGATAGCTTCCTCCCATCTACCGGCGGTCCATCTGATACCGCCACAAAAAACGTCGTGCATAACCTTGTCCCTCACCGAGGGCGTGGTTATCTCTCGCTTGGAGGACGTTCGATCCTACGCATATTTGTACGCGAAGGGAAGGGGTGGCGAGTACCGTGAGACGCAGTACCTTCTTTCGAAGACCGTTCATTCGTTTACTCATGAAACTCAACAGAGCCGTAGAGCCAAGCCGCGGGGGGGAGGTTCAGGGAATCCTTCGCGATACGTGGAGGGATAAGCCGTCAGGGTAGCTTTTGGTCTCCGCCGGGACAGTTATATGTACTGGTGTCCCTCGGTGCGACGCTGAAATACGCTCGTTTTTTTGTTGTTTCACAAGAATGATATACATCTATATATGTCTACTTGGACGTTCCTCCTTCTTCCGCTGCCGGCTATGGAGTCCACTAGTTGCCCAAGTACAAACTGGTGTACTGTAGTTGTTTTCAACACGTCCCCGACTGCTGTACATCTCATTTCAAGCATTGTACAAATGTTCGACGTCAACAAACGGTTGCCAGTCGTCTCGGCGATGCTGACTTTTCGTACCACACCCTTCCTAAGCAAAAGACGCGTAGTTTGAGGTATAGCATGCCTCCATTGGCCCCGGGGGTGGTGAGATATCGTCCCCTGAATTTTAAGGACGCAACCCCGCTTTTTTTCGGGAAAAACCATGTGCATCCTTAAAGCGGGGTCGACTGTACCAGCTAACCGTGGGGGCAAACATTCGTTGCCAAGTTGGAAGCAGAGGGGGAATCTGGGAAAACTGCGCGCATTGCTGCAGAGCTCGAAAAAAAACTTCAGCAAAGCCTTCAGGCAGCAGCACACAGGTGTTCGTCGTTCGCGTTTTACGGGAAACGCAGGAGTGTCCCGCAGCCTGCACAGACGGCGCCACTCGCAACGGATTAATTTTGTGGCTTGGCTACCACGAGTATACTAGCCTGACAAGTATAACACGTTCGTACCCAAAGCCGGGTGTCAGACTCCCTCCAGATGCACTCCGATCGACTTTGAAGAAGGCAGAGGTAACGTCGTCGGAGTCAGATATCGCGACGCCTTTGATCTACAGAATCAGTGCACTGGCATGCATACATGCATATCATATGTACAGTAGTACATGCGCTGCTTCTTGCCGAGGGGCGCCGTAGGTTGCCCGCTGCGACCAAGTGTTCAAATAAAAATACATCCATCTCATTTCTCAAGGACCAATAACCAGAAACGGGTATACCCGGGTACTTATATCACCACTTTAGGGTACAGTTAGAAATCAACACGCTTGCACCCCCAGGCTTTCAGCTGATTGGCCGACAAACCATTGTACCCATTTCTGAAGAAACCTCCATCAGGTACAACTTCCGCTAGAATTAGGACCCCCTGCTGTGACCGATATTGGTTACTGGTGTACCCGGAAGAGGTCAATATTGGACCTACAAATGGTCATATAATCCCGGCGCCCGACGCTCTAGCATAAAACCCGGAGAAAAAACCGTGTGCCGCACATACCGTGTACCACACATACAAAACCACAACCAAACCACCAACAACGCTCGCTCGTTCATCGTTCATGGGCACCGCCTCCATAGGATACCGGCTCTTCTCAACAGAGGGTCGGTCGGACTCGCTTGACGCGCGAGTACTTCGGTGTGGTACTGATCAGTGAAAACACACACAGAGAGAGAGGCACAGAGAGAGAGAAAAACGGGCACGACCTGCCTCATGCATCATGCATCATGCTTCCGAGGCACAGGACACAAAGGACACAAACAGCGGTTTACTGGTTTCGCCGCGATCTACGGCGGATGCTGTCGGAGATTGGTGTCGTCTTGATTTCCAACTGTACCCTGAAATGGTGATAATCTATCCGGGTATACCCGTTTCTGGTTAGGCTACTCCTCTTTCTCAAGCGCACCAAGCTTTTGATGACGTAAGGACGACTGCCCAGCGATCATTTGTCGATATAGAGCAGGGCAACATCACAACAGCAGTAGGACCCAACGACTGCATCATCGTGTACCGCTGCAACCTGTTGCGGTACTGCTGTGTAGTGTAGATCTTCCGGCAAATCTGGCGAGTCAATCTCACCTTTCAAATCGCCGTAGAGTCGATCAAAGCCAAGCATGCTGGCGCTTGCGGAAACCCCACCCAAACGCCGGCACCCAGAGCGGTAGGAACCACATGTTCTGGTGCCCGCAGCCACAAGTAATCGGCCGTACATGTCCCTTCAAGGCGGTGGGCAATTCGACAGGTTTAGTGCTGCACGTCTGAGAAAAAAAAAATATGTGTGAGACATAACGCCTCGGGCGGGAAGCCATCCCCTGCTGAAACCCCTCGATTTCTTGCGGCGCAACAACTGAAGACCTCGCCTCCCACGGTCGGCTTCATAGGGCGCAGCAGGGCTGGGAGCGTCGCTATTCCGGCTAAGATAGAGGAGGTAGCTATCTGTCAACCGTGAAGCCTTTGTTTCACAGTCGGAGCTAGTCCGTAGGGGTAGATTTCCAGTTTTTTCTCAGTGCGTACCACCGTAGGACAACTCGGAAACCTCCGAGTAAGGGTTGGATCTGCTGCAGTCTCTCCACGAGTCTATCGTGTTGCAACGAAATGTCGCCAACATCATGCACTCAGGTACTGTTGACATCTTTTACAAAAGGTTTGGAGCGATTTGATCCGTCAGAAGATAAGCATGTTGATATCAAAGTTCAATATTGTTGCGCTATGCTTGAAAGATCCGAACGCAGGTCTGCATACGCACCGCAGCACAGCAGATTGGGTTGTCTTAAAGTAAACATACCCTACAACACATGTCAAACTGCTGTGGAAATATCAGAAGGCACGCGGCGGGATACGCTCACTATCTGTCGACCTAAAGGGTCCATGGTTTTTGGTGATCAAGAGAGGGTGGAAGCGACTTTTCTGAACCCCAGACCACATCTAGAGAAGTTGACGTTCGAATTGAACGCATCTTTGTGGATGGTCCGCGGTACTTCGATACTGCTGCACACAAACTAGACCCCCCCCCCTGATTTGTACACTGTTATTTGGATTACTTTCGATGCTCCTGAAACGTTTTGAGCAGTATCCTTCCAGGTACGAATATAGAATTGATTTTATGGTTAGCCGAGATCCGGGAAGCCGTACAGGATCCGGTAGGAAACGCAGAAAGAGACGGACGCTGGGGCAGAGGCGGCACGCCGTCTTTGAGGGGAGGATGTCCGACGAGGAGGACAGTGAGCAGCAAAAGGAGACAAACAACAACATAAGGTCCGCAGAGAGCGAGAGATTGCCGAAGCTGAACGTGAGAAGTTGGAGTCTGGAGGCAAGCGGACAGTTGAACTCCGGCGTCTAAGTTGCGGTGGAAACCTTGGAACAGCTGGCTCTCGCTCCGTCAAGCGGAGTGCAGCGCGAAGACAGTCTGATCCTGGAGTTAGGAATACTCAGATCGGAGCCGAGAAAAAAACACGCAAGAAACCTTGTAGGCGTGCGGAGTGCGGTTGGTTCACAAACAACCCGGGTCTCGAATGCAGCATGTGCCCCTCAGGCGTAGTGCACGCCGTCAGTGACAAGCTATGCTCCGCATGCCATAGGTCGGAGGGCTTAGCTGGCTTCACGCACCTCAGAGGGCCACGGCTTGAACGAGCGACACGGTTGTTTTTGGCCGAGTACCAAGAAGGAGAGGGGGAGCTGCCTCTACCTCTCGTGCGAGGATTTTGTCCCAGCAACGACTGCATATGCCAACACCGAGATTGTTTCTACAGATTTCTTCTCGAGAGGGAAGCACAGCCGGAGCTCCGAACATGTAGCGTGTGCAAGTGAGGGTACCCTGTGAAGGAGCAGGTGCGGTGGTACAGTGTGGACGTGGTGGACGATAACATAACGGAGGGTGGTGGATCAGGACGCACACAAGCTTGGTACTGCCAGACCTGCAATCAAGCTCGAATCCGGGCCATCGGAGAAGCTACTCAAAACAAGGTTGCGGCATCGAGCAACTCGGACCGACCTAAAGCCGACGAACCGGCGCCGGAGAAGCCGTTCAGCCGGGTGCGCGAGTTGGTGATTAAAACCGTAGCTCGCGGGGACATCCTTTACTGGGAGGATGTGTTCGACTGGCTCTCAGCTGAGCGCGCAAAGGATGGTGACCAAGAACTTGAGCGTAGGAGCGGGCGGAAGGCCGTGCGCCAGATGTTCGAGAGCATCGCGAGCGCTGATGGGAGCCAAGCGCGGGTGGTCAGCAGCGAGGGGGGCTTTGGAGACGGGCGCCAACGACTACTGTGTCTCTTCCCGGTCAACGCTCGGGACGAGGTTATCGCATCCCTCGCCCTACGGGCGCGCCTGGCGAACACGTTCGATGGTCCGAGCACGCCCGCAAACGCCACGTCCGGTGGAAATACGTCCCTGCAGATAGTGAGGCGTCTTCTCGAAGAAGCGAAAGAGGCAGACGCGAGGATGGAGATCGTGCTTGCGGCGGCGGAAATCGTTCGGGCCGATGTCGATCAGCATCCAGATCTCAAGAATGTCCGCATCCGACGGCAAAAGCACAAGTACAGCGTGGAGTTGGCCGCACCCGTGAAAACAGTGCGAGGTGCCCTAGCTGAGATGCCCCCGACATTGGTTGGACTGTTTCAAGGTATGACGAACATGCCCCTGTACCCCGAGATTACCGATGTAGGGAGTGAGGATCTCGGCCGGGGCTGGGCGTGGGATGAAACAAAAACAGACGGTCCACAGCCAAGCGCAGCGGGGAGTGTACGGCGAGAGGATGATGGGAGCGATGGAGCCGACGCGCTTGAAGGAGCCGCCTGTGAGCGGCAAGCCCCCACTCGCGATGCCACCCGGGCAGAAGAGGTGGATTCTGCTGGGCCGACTTCCGAGGAAGCTTCCACTTTCATCGAAAAAACCAACCAGGATAGGCGAGGCTTCGCACGGCGTTTGTACATGCTTTGCAAGTGCACGGTGAAGGCGATTTTTCCTGGTCGACACTTGACAGCGGCCATGGTCGACTACGTGGACCTCATCCGAGTGGCCATCGTCAAGCTTGGCAAGAAGAGGACGACAGACACCTGCCCGACTCATAGGTCGATGCGAGAGCAATGCCTGAGGATGAAGTCTGTCGACGGGTACTGGCAAGATGGATTCAAAGACCACATGCCAGAACGAGACTTCAACGGAAAGGGTTGGGGTATCAACCCCAAGGCGAAGGGCAGCAACGCGTCAGCACTCACAGGAGAGAATTGCGTTATGTGGATGTCGGAGCATTCTTACATCGGTCCCGATGGGAAGCTGGTCACGATGACGTGCGGTTGCAACCCGGTGAAGGCCTTAAAGCATAACTGTAGGGGGTGCGGGTGCAAAGGGCGCAAGTGCTCCCTCGCTTGCGGCTGCAGGGGCCGTTGCCATTTGGCTCGCAAGCCTGTACCCGGTGCACCGACCGGCCAGGCCACGTACTCCGATCCTGCCGNTTGCGTTATGTGGATGTCGGAGCATTCTTACATCGGTCCCGATGGGAAGCTGGTCACGATGACGTGCGGTTGCAACCCGGTGAAGGCCTTAAAGCATAACTGTAGGGGGTGCGGGTGCAAAGGGCGCAAGTGCTCCCTCGCTTGCGGCTGCAGGGGCCGTTGCCATTTGGCTCGCAAGCCTGTACCCGGTGCACCGACCGGCCAGGCCACGTACTCCGATCCTGCCGTGCTGCACACTCCGCAGTCGTTGCCAGCGCCATGACGGCTCTTCTGGCGTCCCGGAACGCTAGAGCGGACGAGAAAGAGAAAGCCCCGGACGATCCCGGTTCGAACGATGACGACACCGGCCGTTCGGACAGTGACTCGGACGATTTTCTGGAGCTGGAAGCGGAAGGGTCGGCTGACAGCGACTTAGACTCTGATGAGTCCGACCCTGGGTGGGGCGGTGTCGGTGGGGTCGATGCTCAGGACGATGCAAACTCTAAGGGCTAAGCATGGTTCTGACCGAGTTTCATCAGGTGTGTTTGGCCATCCTATCGCTGTTCATTTTTCTTCTTGTGTAGACATGTGCGAGTGTTGATGTCGCCTATATTTTGTTCGTCGCCTAGTGATCATGTTGGTGTATCGCGCCGGTGCCATACCGAGCCCACATAATGCGGTCTGCGTATCGTGTTTCAGGTAACAAACTTCCGCGAGCTGATTTCGTCCAATGGCGGCTCCCCCGTTCGGCGTTGGTCAGGACTTACTGGCTTCGACCCCCAGCTTGGGTTTCGAGCATGTTTCCGGGTGAAGCGGATATCGGCTGCGGCAACAATGGCGTTGGCGCAGGGTTTAGGCAGTGGCACGGCGGGGTTTCGGGAGTATTGATTATGTCTCCCTGCGCTTATTGTTCCCCGCGTCCGGGAATGTAGCGATTCAAGTGCTTGTATTTTCTCAAGGTTAAATGTGCTGTAGATATATAGTGTTGGATTCCTTTATTCGTCAAGCTTAAAGTTCTTGCGTTGGGCCTACGGTACCATCATGGTGTGCGCAAAGATACACACACGGCAAACGACGTTGTTTTTGGAGCTTCACCCTCATTTTTTTTTGTTTATATTCTCTGCGTTAGTAGGTCCACGTGACGAATTATCTCACGTTCATTAAAGTTGTTAGCAAATCTCTTGTTCGTGCGGGCGGGGGGGGGGGGGGAGTCTGAATGGAAACACGCGAACTCACGTAGCGGTACTTCGAATATGTTGTGTTTCGGTCTGTTTCGTTCTTTACTTGTTTTCGAAAGACTCACGACAACACAACTCCATTTACCAGTCGGATTTCACCGGAGTACAAAAGGGATACATGCCCGTGCGGGCCCCAACGGGGCATCATGACGACCGCAGCTGCTGCTGCGTGCATGTGCGCCGTATTTTTCTTACGTGACTTTGTTTGCCTCTCGATGTGTGTATGTATGGCGGCGCAACACTACAGGAGGACACTGCTGTTGTAGGAGATAAAGTAACCGTTTTCAGTTCAAATATGGACGAACGCCAGTTGCAATTACTTCATCTGTACTGCGTGTTGCACCAAAGTTCAAATTGCAGTAGAACCGCAAGCCTCACAGCAAGCCCATCCTGTGTCTCATACCACGAGTAGCGCGTCCAAAGATAAGCACGCTTGATCCGCGCAATACCTCTTTTTCCAAGCGATAAGTACCCCTCTCGGAAGCACTTCTGGGCACAATACTCGACATGTGTACTCCTCGTGTCATTGTTCGTAATTGTGTAAAGTTTCGTGTCGATCGGTTAGGTATAGGGCGCGTTCTCGTGTGAAGCTTGCCGCGCGTGCACACCACAGGAGGTTCGGCCGCAGCAGGGGCATGGATCACATTTTTTCGGCAGAGTCTCTGAGCCTGCGCCGAGCAGTTCTCGCGCTATAGTCAACGAAATTCCGTGAAACCAGCTTTCCTGAATAGCTACTGGTCTATTTTACTGCTGTACGCCGACAAAGGTGGCAGTGCGGACGTCTGATCGCCGGTGCGTTAGCCAACTGTCATTTTTGGTGTTGAGCCGCTTTTTTTTTTTATCAGGCGTGCAGCACTGCTGTCGATCAATGGATCAGACGATCAGAGGGCACAAGTAGGGTGGCGTGGTATACATTTCCCGTTGCCCCTTCAGCTGGTTAAGCCGCACCCACGCACCACCAGACTACCAGACTCTAGCCCTAACATCAGCTTGTTCAGAGACGGGGAGAGTGGGGCGAGAGAGGACGGAAGAGCGAGGGAGAGAGAGGTGCAGCTTGTGGGGAACTTGGTGCTTTCTACAGCACGGGAGTGCGGCGAAAGGGTCAAGCTGGGTAAGCCAGATAACTGGCTTAATATGTTGTGCAATTGGGTTGTTCGACAGCGGAACCAGCAGCAGGCCGGATCGTCTCCGCGGATGCAGTGCAAAGTGCAAAATAAGCAGCGATGGTATCAAAACGACCTGCCCCTATGCTGTTGCACGACTGAAGACTGCGGTGCACGAGTCGTTGGGCATTATGTTTAGTTTCGTTGCTGAGTGTTCCGCCTCTACTACCTCTACTACCTCTACGCCGAATCTACGGTATCTGCTATTTCATATTCCTACTTGCGACAAGCAGCACCTGGCACTTGGTACAATCTGGTGCTGTAACGTACACTATTATGTACTTCGAAGTATTGGATACAGCAGTCTACCAGTGACCTGCATGCCGTCTAGTGGACATGTGGGTATACACCCACACGTCGCCCAAGTAGCGTCGACTAAAGGCACGTGTTCCAGTGGTGTCCAAGGCCAGGTACAGTAGTATTGAACGAATTGACGTGTTTCTCAAAGCACACCTCGCTCAAAGCACCTCCCTGTTCCAGACCAACAATCCCGCCTGCTTCTTTTGCTGCGAATACCGGCCTGCTGTACATGGGTGAGATAGATATCAACCCCCCTGAACCGATTGTTCAAGCTCGATTGCTCCACGATCAAGAGGGCGTACAAATGAAACGGTATGCTGTTGTTTTGGAACCTCTCGACGAACCGGTTACTGTTGCAACGCCGACATTTTCCGCATACAGTACAAGTTTGGCCACCGCTGTTTTCTGCTGTGACGAGTACTGCTGTAATAGAGCCCTGAAATCGATTCAGGGCTGCGCTTGCCCTGATTCATGTCTTGTGTCTCCTACGGTGGACCCCTCGACCAGAGAAGTGTATTGTGGACCATCGATTCACATGTTTGTCGTGCCTGCCGTTCAAACTGCGACAGGCAGCACAACATTAAGATGCCCCTCTACTTCTCATGTGCTTGTGTAGGTCACCCTACCTTTTCGTAGCTGTAGCGTACCGCTCGGCAGGAAACCGCCCCTTCGCAGAAAACAGGACTTGACTGTTCAAAGCGCGCTGAGAATGTTGTTTGTGTACACATAGCTGCCGGCCCAACCAGTGACCAGTGACCAATGACCAATGACCAATGACCGCCCGTTCCTTTATCCTGGAAAACGAACATCCTTATCCTTCCACATCGGGATCGGCGGCGTGACCACTTACCTCCTTCCTATCTGTGTTGCATGCAACTTCCAGCTTGCTAGGCGCCCCGCTCTCTCTGCAGGCGTTTATGATATTGTTTGGCCAAGACCAAGACAAGACAAGACAAGCTTGACAGAGCCGCCACTACCGCCTCAAGGTTATCTTCATGTGCTTCAGAAGCGCGCTCAAGAGGTTGGCAGTTGAAAATGTTAAATTTTCACAAAAAGCTTGAGCCCCGCCCACACTAAGCCAAGATGTTCTCTATTGGAATCCCCACAGATTCAAGGAACGAGGTTGAGGGCCGCGTCTGAGGGCCGCTTCTGGAGTATCGTGCTGCCGAACGAACAATGTCTTGGAGGCGGGAGCAAGAGCTGGAGCGCGTCGGAATCGATGAGCCCGAGGTGAAAATTCACGGTTTACCGTGACTTCCATTTGGAAGACATGCCGCGCGGTAGTGTGTCCTCCTAAAGACTGAGGGGATCTTCCATCTGGAGACCGACGGAATACGTGAGGTCCCATAATTTTCAAGACTGGCGGTGCAATATGTTCCATCGGGAGACCGACGGAATACGTGAGGTCCCATAATTCACAAGAGTGGCGGTGCAATAACTTCTATCGGGAGACCGACGGAAAATCAAGTTTCACGGAAAATCAATTCAATTTCTAAGGCTGACAGCACGATGTTGATAGTATTCCGTCTGAAGGCCGGCGAAACAAGTTGCAGTCCATCTCAATCAAGACTGACGGTTAGGGTTAATGGTAAATTAACATCCGAATGATGCCGACGGTACGATGAGGTTGCTTTCAAGACTTTCCGTACGGTGAGGTTCCATTAGAGTGTAGTGCGTAGGACCTAAGGGCAAAGTGTCTACATCGAAAAGGCGCAAGGTAAGGGATGTTCTGCTTCACTAAAAAAATAGCTTATTTGGCTCTTCTTAAGAGTCTCTTCGGCTCTTCTTTAAGACTGACTTTTTTTTTTATTGGTTGTGAAGGCGAAGTGGCACCCTCGTAGATTCAGAGAACGCGAAGATAGGCGCGGAATCGATCGGGCTTTGTTGACGGGACCCTCCCCGGAGGCGTGGATGGCTAGGGTAACGGAATCGCCTTCTTCCTGCCCGGTGCCGCCGCGGAGGGCCTCACCCGAACACGGAAAAGAAAGTCGGAGTGTAGACGTTCGCTGAAATCGCGAATATGGCTGTAGGGTGTTAGGGTGTTTCCACTTGCGTGCAAGTGTTTTTTCATTGTTGCAGGTCGTGGTTTCGTTTGGACGCTGGCGTACTGTGTCTTACTACTTTGAGAGGGGGGCTCTCACTCGCTTTTTTTCTTGTGCCCACCCCCTCCCCAGCCCCCCCGTTGTGGGAACCATGCTCCGTCCTCTCGAGCACGCGTGGTCAATGGTCTAGCAACTAAGGCATGCAAAACATGTACTTCGAAGTATACCCACCCACCCCCCGTTGTTTGTCATTGTTCTGGCAGGCACCTCGAAAGGTACCGAAGAACGAAGTCTCGCTGGACAGGGCCAATGATGCCTGCTGGCTGGTCAAGTGCACGGTGAGCGGTTGCGGTGTTACTTTTTCTTTCGGGCCTCACAGACCTCTGCTACTGCTGCTGTACCCTGCTCTCGCTGCACAGTACAGTACTCTGTTTATTTTCAAAGTATGCCGCCGCCGACGCCGCCACCGCCCGTGCTGCTGCTGCTGCTGCTGCTGCGGAGGACACGCGGATGGCGTCGGCGTGAGTTGGACCAGACCAGCATGGGCGTGGGAAGGGACTGAGCAGAGATCGGAACTTTTTTATTTTGTAAAGACAACAATCAGCCAAGGACGACGACGCCAAAAACATAGCAACATCACGACACCACCGTAGGAAGAACATCACCCAGTAAGAAGAAGCTATCGATAGCAAACACCACAACGTCGACACCAACATCAATCACTGCCACTCTACAGCCGAGCGTGTGGAAAGCTTGGGAAGGCCTGGAGGAAGGAGCGAAGCTGGGCGAGCTGGTGGTGAAGACCGTCAAGAGAAAAAAACCGGACGGGTCGATTGTGGAGGAGCAGACCATGCAGGTCAAGCCAGGGGTGAGATGATAAGGATAAACCTGACGTGTTTGCCTCGGAAGACGCCGGCTGCGGGGTTGCTGAAAGATTCCAGGTTTCCTGGATTAGCAGGACACACGGCTGCTGCTGCTGCTACTGCTGCTGCTACTGTTGTGCGTGCGTACTCTCTTATTTGACACCGACTGCTATCCAGCTC